ACATGGCACAAGTTTGTATTACTTATAGTTATAAAATAATGTACAAGATGTGTTTATGATTGGTATTTATAATAAACATCCTTAGCTCCCACAAGAAGCGATCAATTTACCTATATTAATATAACGCAAATAATATTTTAAAAATTTGATATATGTGTGTGTGAGAGTGTTTTTTCGTTTCTTTTCTCTTTTCTATTTCATTTTTAAACATTACAGATATTTGTAACTATTTTGTTAATCAATTAAATTAAATTAAAAAGTTTCTTAATTATTACTAAAATTAATGAGATTATTTATATACACATATAATATTAGGATAACAAAGATCTTTGATCATATGTTGAAAGCTGCTCATTTAATTAATCGTTTTTTCTTTTTTTTAAACTTATATATCATTAATGATCGTATCAAGAAAAAAAAAATGTTATAATCAAAAACAATAAGTATAAAATAGTTGAAATTATCAGACATATATAAATTAGTTTTACTAAATATAATTTCAAAGTATAATAATTAACAATAGATAATTAATTGCATTCAATTAATTTTGAATGAATGAGCAAAAGCATAAATATGCTGAAAATAAGAAAGATATTTGAAAATTTCAATTTTAGTATGAAATAAATAATTTTTTTCTTTCCTATTAGCAATTGTTAATTGTGCAAGACGAAATAATCAGTGTAATAAATGAATTGACGAATGAAAGAATGGAAAAATAAATGAAATATAATTTAAATTCAAATATTTGATGAATTTTTCGCAAGAAAGTAAGGAAAAAAAAAAGCTGTTTGTGACATCCAGAAAAATATCCATCCACCTCCTCCACCACCTCCTCCACCTCCTCCACCTCCTCCTCCTCCTCTTCCTCCTCCTCCACCTCCACCTCTCCCTCCTCCCCTTCTTTTTCCCTCTCTCTCTCTCTACCTCTCTCTCGATTATTTTCAATTCACAATAAAGCAAACATTGAAAACTATCAAAATGCAATTTTTTTTTTCGTTACAGAAATTAATTGAAAATGCCAGCCTAAATTTTTTCATATTTTTCATTTAATTGAATATTTGAGAAAAATTTTTCCATTCACCAAATAGTTTTGAGCTTATTGTGAACAAAAAGAAAAGAAAAGAAACGAAAAGAAAGAAAGGAAAATTACGATAAAATGAAAAATCACAAAAATTGAAATGAACAGCTGATCGATCTCAGTAGAATGATAAACGAAACTGATTGACAATATCCTATGTGATCAATGAAAAAAAAAAAAATTTATCGTATTAAAACAAAAAGGTATTGAAAAATGGACAAAAAAAAAATAAAGAAGAGAAGGAAAAGTTTGCAAAAGCGAAAAGATGATGTAGAAAAAAGGTTGACAGATTGATGAAGAAAAAGATTGTAAAGAAAATCCGCCTGATGAAGAAGCAATTTGCTTAAAGCTATACAATCGATCATGACAATAAATTGCATTTAACAAAAAAGTTTAAAAAAAATAATTAAATAAAACAAAAAAAAAAAAAACGGAAAACACACAAGGACATATATCAGATCGATGAAGATGATGATTGAGAAAAGATTGAAGAGAGGTTAATTTTTACCACAATAATAATGAGAATAAATGAAATGTACCATTTCAAACATTGTAACATTTTTAAATTTCAATATTGTAACTATTTAATTACCTTTATTTTGATTTACCATTTTTGGGATATTGTTGTTGTTGTTGTTGTTGTTGTTNCAATAATAATGAGAATAAATGAAATGTACCATTTCAAACATTGTAACATTTTTAAATTTCAATATTGTAACTATTTAATTACCTTTATTTTGATTTACCATTTTTGGGATATTGTTGTTGTTGTTGTTGTTGTTGTTGTTGTTGTTGTTGTTATTGTTGTTGCAGCTGATACTATTACTACTACTACTACTACTACTACTGTTGTCACTTATTTTTCCCTATTTACACTTACGTTTTCATATCTTAGTATGATATTTTTATTTCTTCTTTTTTTTTTTTGACTCTGTTTTAACGAAACGATGCAATTTATTATTTATTTTAAAATATTTAAAAGAGAACAAAAAGTGGAATAAAAACATTAGCGTTGTTAAATTCAAATGAAAATAGGCCGAATTACACATTAATCGAATCGAAATTGATAAGGGAATTTTAAGCAGTTTAAATTGATTTCAAAAAATGATCCTCATTAGTCCACCATTTTTGGATTACTTGACACCGCATGATGATGATAATGATGATGAAAAGCAGCCGTATTAATCATCAATGTAATTGATGAAAAAAAAAAACTATAACAACAAATGTGCTTTCCTTTCATTGGTAAGTTCCACCTAAGTTGATCGTCATTCTGAGTTTTTCAGCACTAATTGGTGGAGATGAAAGAGTAGAACGATCAGCAGTCAAAAAACCTGGATTTCCTAGCGATGAAACTCTCGATTCAACGAGAAAATTAATCTTTCAGATCCGAAATTCTCAAAGTCTATTTGAACAAAACTTGAGAAACTTTCAAACCTGACATTTCAATGATCGCGACTTCTATCTTCTTCGGTCCCATCAGCTCTTGGTACTCCTTAAGGCTTTTCTTTCATGACAGTATTTTATATAATTTGTTGGAGCATTGTCTTAACTCTTTAACTTTAATTACTTTATTCCTCAAAGTCACACTTCACTCACTCTATTTTTACTGTGCAAATTGTCATCCCTTTCCTGTATTACCTGATGGACACCATTTATAACTAAAAGCTTGGAAAAGACTCATGATACCGGTCTTTCAGCTATTTTGTCCAACCTATCTCCTATCAATTGTTGCACTTTGCATGGCCATAGGATAACACACTTAAATGCAGTTTAGCGCATCTATTTCTTTTTTCTTCAACAAAAAACACCAGATATTTATGTCCTCCCCAGTGACATTTTCCAAAAAATTTAAGAACATTTTTCGATTGAAATTTAGTAACTATAAATGAATAAATGAATGTAAGTAACAACATTTTGCATTGGAATGTTCTATTAGCTGCAAATCCTCTAATGAAACATTTAAAATTTTATTTTCTCGTAAATTACTAGCTGTAAATTTAAAAACCAATAGCAGGAGCTTGTTTTATTTACTGATTAAACTAATGAGGGCGAGACTACAACCAAATAGAAATCAATGGCGCATTTCCTCCACTGGAACAAAAATTCGCAATTCAAACGTACAAATTGATATGAAAACTTTGAATCTGTCAATCTTTTAGAGATAGTAACAATATCACACATTACAACAAATGACTATGCATAATGTATAATGCGCACACTTCTTTCTAGCTAAAAAAATGAAAAAAGATGAATTACTATAAGAGATTCTTAATACCCTGAAACAAAAAATCACATGTCGAGGTACATGACAAAATAAACCTGTTTTTTCAAAAAATCAACCATACAACACAAATTTTCCAAGAAAATGAAACGAGGACTAAAGAAAAATAGACCTATCCTTGATCCGATAACTATTTTTCTGTGAAATGTTATAGAATAAGTCAATTTTTCATTCCATCCTTGTTCTGCATTTCCATTCGTATTTTTTTAAGATCTTTATACAAGTGAGGTAGATCGGTTAGAAAAGGAACCTGAAAACGATTTTTCTAGAACCTGTACTAATGCAATTTTGGAATTCCAAAGATTAAGTAGGATGAACCAAATCTCTTGCGCATTATGTAATAAAGTCAAGGTTGATGAACGGAAGAGACAAAAACGTAGAAATACATACTTTCAACGTATCGACCAAATAAAGCATTTGGCGAGGATCATTAACCGTCCACGCAACCACCTGGATGTCTAAGTGCTTCATCCTCTTTACCAATCCACTATAATTGCACGGACCTTTATTTCATTTTGAGATGCTTGAAAAAAGAAAACTCATTGAAAGAGAAATCTAAAGGAAGAGTACCACACCACCCAAAAATTCAAAATTTGGATGAAACAGAAAGGAATCCTCGTAGCTAGTAAACATTCGGCAACCATACCCAGATATTTCTTTCTCATATAGAAGTAACATTTCAATTCCAAGGAACTGCGGCAGAAAACTGTCAAGTAGTTTCATGTTGATATAATCTAAGAGCAATGCCAAAAAGTATTTCAATCCCGAGAATCGTGGAATACAATGTTCCAAATCTTTATATGTTGCAAAATACGGACGCCATGTGATGCCTAAATGTAAGTCGTAGAAGAACTATTGCATAGTTTATAGTTTCGGATAGGAAATGCAAATCAAAATAACTGTGTAATTATAACCTACATTTTCACATATTTCAGTGATCATTAGAATAAAGCATTCTCTAAAGAGAAGTAAGCAAATGTTGGTTTGCTGTGCTCTTCAGAAGTGATATCCTTCCAAACTAGACTGATAATAAAACTTACCGGTTAATATATTGGGGTCAATTTTCTTGATGGAGTATGGAACCCAAGGGTAAAATGAAGAAACGATCACATCGCTGTACAGATTATTGGATGATATTACAGATACTATTTGGGAAACCATCTGAAACTAACTGTTCATATAAAGTTCTTACGAAATACCATTCTGGATTACTGCCGTTGATTTCCAAATCTTTTATTACTGCGACTCTCAAACTAACATAAAACAAACAGTAAATTAATGAGTAATCAATAGAGCAACACAAAAGATAGTATTCGACCGACCAATGAAAGACTCTTAAGTATGCCGTTTTATGTCAAAGGACTGTTAGCATTTCAGCAAATAAGCTACCTCAGAACTGCTATCTTTCACATCAAATAGCATTTTTAAATTGTTATCTCGGCAATATTTCACGGTAGCCTCCAGAGTTGGTATATGATAAACTTTCGAAGCCGTTTGATTATCCAATGCACTGCAAAAAAATCATGCCTAAAGGAATGTCAAAAGAAACAAATCGAATAGACCCACCAAGTACTGCAATTTTTGTTAGCTTGATAAAGAAATATCGAAAAAGACTTGCACGAAGGACAATAATAACCTTCTAATGTATGCCAACTAGAAATCCGACAGGAATATCCCGTAAGTAATGCCACTTACTATCAGTACAATCTATTCCGTTAATATAGCACTTAAACATCGAGTACGACTGTGCCCACCAATAGCAAAACCAGTCTACATGCTTGTTGAACTGATAGTATTGGGGATGACTTCTTAACTGACCTTCTAAATTGTTTCAAATTAATACTCCTGCTTTAAGTTAACATGCATATTTTAATTGGATGAGAAAAGCATTCATTAACAGTCGCAAGCAAAATAACGAATAACTATCTTCTTCAACAAAACGAATAAAACCATGAAATCCATCAAAGTGTGGACGACAAGGCATACCGATTTGAACTTACCCTAATGACTGGAACGTTTTTCCGGCATTTTTTGTTCTTAATTCTTCGAGAGTAAAGGATGCAATCAGGCCTGGTTCACCACATGTTCTCATCAGATCATCATCATGCATTATCACAACGACACCATTCTTGGTTAATGTTAAATCAAATTCTACCAAATCCATGCCCGATAATTTTGCCTGCAACGTTTATTAAAAAAACTGCAGAAGGCAACAGGGTGAGAGAAAAATAGAAGCAAAGCAGAAACGAAAAAAGAGATTATATGTGAACGTAATAAAATTGAAAATAATGTCTGGTGTAAAGAAAAAGTTGACAGTTGAACCTTTTCAAACGATTCAATCGTATTTTCAGGAGCAACTTTAGGTGCACCTCGATGACCGCCAACATGAAAATCTTTGAAGAATTTGTTAGCCTGAAAAGAATATGCCATCTTGCATGGCAAAATCATCACTAAGTTTTGGGACAAACTTCATAAATACTTGCACTATTAATCCCAAATGAATTTTCCAGAACAATGAACCTCTTTCTAGTGACCTTAATAATTCTCCCGCTAATATGACAAGAAATATATCAATTCGATGAATAAAATGCAAATTTCAAAGAATTGTTTCCTTCAACTTCTTAAATTTCAATCTTTGTATTGCATTAATTTTAACATTCTAAAACATATTAACAACATACGGCAGGAACATTAGATGAAAGACCAAAAATACGTCGCAATGTTTGAGCTACCAAAGGTACTGTAATTAGTAAGAATATTCCAAAAATTGGTTTAAACGATGACGCCACAACCAATATTACACCCGCAATAGCTACGAATATATAGAACACATTATGTTCAACATCCATATTGATAGATGACCCTGAAATGAAACAATATTTTGATTTGTCATATTTTTCCTCCTTCTTAACTCCAAACCCTTTTCTCAAATAGGGTGAAATAAGATCTGGATGATGAAAGATAGTTGATAATAATGCTAAACAGTGGCAAAACTCAATCTCATCGTTAGTTCGAAATCTCACGGAATATCAAAGAAAAAAAAGAAAACCTCTTCCCTCTTGATTGCTATAAACAACCAAACTAATCACGAGAACCAAGTATGTGACAATGACGAGTTTTGTATTATAACTAAATATCCATGTGACAATGATGAGTCGTCTATTACCTCTAAATATCCATGTGACAGTGACGAGTTTTGTACTATAATTAAATGGGATCGCTATGCAAATCCATGTCGTCTCTGTATTCGTGTTATAACTAAATAGAATCAACTTAGACGCACAACTATCACATCAGTTGTTTTATGCGGCAAATTTGGTGATCATAAATTCGAAGAGATTAAAGATTACTCTCGAAATATGTTTAATACGTGGTTTAGCGAGTTTTGTGTTTTATACAGTTGAAAAATGAATGATAATTAGATAACACTTTTTTCTTGTTTTAAAGTGAATCGGAAAAATTGAATTTCAATTTATTTTTATCATCAATATTTTAAAATTACTTTCAATTTTCTTCATTAACATTTCAACTAGCACATTCTATCTAATATACTACTAAAAATCTACGGCATAGTGTAAATAGAAGAAATTCGCCTTGGAAAAACTGAATTACCATTTCATAACATCAATAATTAACAATAATTAATAGCAGAAAGGATAATTTCACTAAAGAAAATATAAAATTACAATTAACTTATTTCTTTGAAATTATATTGAAATTTTTCAATTTCATTTATCATTTATTATATTTATATGTTAAATGATTAAAAATTTTCGTTGATTAATATATTTGTAATGAAATTTATTAAAGATCGCAATAATTTCTTATCAATCATTTCTTTTTTATTCTTATCAAAATAATATCAATATCATACAATTTACGGTCCCAGTAATATTCAATTGTTTTAGGGAAGAAAGGGTAGAGATTTCGAGGAGAGTTTGAAAATATTTTAATGAGAATTAAATTTGTACCATTTTCTTGTTTGATATAATGAAGTAGAGTAATCATCGCTTTCTTCTTCTTCTTCTTCTTCTTCTTCTAGTGGCAAAAGATTCTTTTCGTTTTTTTTGACTGGTTTTACCTTTTTCCTGTTTTCCACCTTAATAATTACTGCTACTATTAGTATAACTATTACTATTACTATTACTATATTACTATTAATACATTACTATTACTATATTACTATTACTATTGTTAATATTATTATTATTATTGTTACTATTACTACTGCTGCTAATATTATTACTATTATTATTAGTATTACTATTACTATTACTCTTGCTATTAATATTATTACTATTACTAATTACCATTAATATTATTATATTACTATTACTAGTTACTAATTGCTAATCACTAATCACTAACTACTAATTGCTAATTACTAATTACTAATTACTAACTACAATTTACTATTACTATTTCAAAAAAATCATGGATTGTTTTTCTTTTTCTTTACAATTTTAATGTTTAATATGAAAGAGAAAGCAAAAAAGCGACTTAATTTTGATGATTTATTAATTTGGTAGTTAATGAATCGGATCCGTAAAAAATGTTAGTTTACATGAAATATTACGGTTAGAAAATTAATTTCAAATACGGTTAAAAAAACGGACCAGAGAGGGAAAGAATTCGAAGTGTAGAGAGAGAAGAAACAAAGAAGGGAAAAGAATCGAAAAAAAAGCGGAAGAATTTGGTATTTGTTATAAAATTATCAGGATTTTATCAGATATAACTGGTTATCAAAAATGGATTAAAAAAAGAAAATTTATCGTCAAAAATTGAATCAGCAAAATTTTGGAAATTTTGTAAAACTTATGCATATCGTAAATTTTTCTTCCCTAATAATTTTTATTTCAAACATATATTTTTATTTTAGTAATTAAATTGTAGCCAATTAAGTTTAGCATTATGATTTTGATTTTTTTTTTTAAAGCTATAATTAAAAAATTAAAAAGTTTCCTTTTTATCACTAATTATTGATGACTCAAATTTTAATATTTTATCAAACATTTTAATTTCATATAGAAGCTTTCAAAATTAATACATTTTTAGGGTATTTTACTGCTGTTGTATATTTATCTTCCACCATCTGATAAAATTGTATATTCATTTTGTAAAATTTATTTTTTTCACTAGAAGAGATCTATTTTTAGTTTTAAAAAAATTATTCCTTTTTTTAGCAATAATATTTTATAAGAGATATATATGATGAAAATTATCGTCTAATATATTTGGTATGAATTATTATAAATGGATAATAAAATTAACAATATAAGGATAGTTGATCGATCATTTGTTTGATTTGATAATTGCTAGATTAATGATGATGATTGAAATGAGTGAAAGGTTATTCTTAAGTGAAATATTATCAATGACAGGTTTTATACAGTAAATGAATACATTTGCTATTGATGGATAATTATTGCTGTTTGCTGTAAGGTATGTTGTTTACAATTTTTCAAACAGGCGGAATTCTATCATGCTGTAGTGGGCACTACTACTTCTTATCGTGATGGCATCATTCTCCTTCTTTCTCTCTTTCTCTATTTTTCTCCATTTCATATCATTATGCATCAATGATTAAAGATATCAAAAAGATTCGTGTCGTTGTCAGTATTCGATATCATTTTGATAACTATTAGAAAAAATTTTTACATTCATTAGAAAAAAAGAATAGAAGTGAAAATCGAGAAATTAAGGAGAATGAATTAAACTAGGAAAGCCTGAAAATGAATATGAAAGATGAAGAAAGTGAAGGATGATGAATCAGTGATATGATAAGAATGATATAAGCTTTGAGCATTGAAATTATAAATCAATCAAGTTTAACTTAACTTTAAGAAAAAAATTTTAAATAATCATATTTTATTGAATTGTCCTCTGGATAGATTATATATTATTAATTAAACTAATTACACATACAACCATCTCTTGCTAAATTCGATGAAAAATTCTTATTTTGAAAAAATAAACAAAATATCGAAAATAGAATGAAATAAGTGAAAGAATTTTTCCTTTAAAAAAATTTAATTTTTTTCAAAATGAAAAAAATAAACCTAAAATGAAATAACGATATGATGATCTATTACAACATAATTTTTTTCAACGTTATTTTTCAACGCAGTATTTTCAACGTTTATTTTTTTAATGATAATTAAATATTATATCGAATTATTTTGTTGATTTCTCACCTCACTTATGATTAACAATATTATCAATAAAGTTAGTCATTTGATTTGATTACTTTAATTTTTGATGTTTCGTTTTTATTTAACAAATATCTTATGAATTTCAACAGATAATTTAGTCAAATTGCTTAATATAAGCATAATCAAATTAATCAATGATTGTTTAGAAATAAATTCAAACTTAAATAATATCTAATTTAAACTAAAATCTTTTTTAAATGAAATTTCTCATTATTATCAATCAAAATTCTCTACACCATTTTTTACCTTTCTTTTCAAAGTTTTTCTGTACTCTCTTTTTTAAAGCAATATTTTTTGCGCTTGATTGCCTGATTATTTTTCCAACTTAATTCTCCGAAATGTTGGTTAATTATAATGATGAAGAGTTGGTTGGAAAATCGGGTAGGAAATGGAGGAACACGAAGCTATCTTTTATTTAACATTTGAAGAAATTGAAGAGAAATAGTTTAATCGACGAAAGAATACTCTCTTCCCCGCATTCATCCATCCCGCATTACTATCATCCTTCCAACCACCGTTGAAAAAATTACAAATTTTGAATAAAATGTTAATTTCAATTATTAAGTTAATTTATTAATTATTAAGTTAATTTATTATATTATTCTCATATAATATCATGTCAATTTTTTATAGAAATCAAAATTTGTTAATTATATTATCAACTAAATGAATGAAATTTTTATATTTCTTTTAAAATTTTTCTTACATTGATAATTGATAAAAGATGAAAGCATTGATAAATTATGTGATAAGTTTAGCATTATGATTTTTTTTTTATTTAAAACTTTACTCATTACATTGATAAAAGCAGCAAAATAGAAGCTATAACTTTTCTTTTCTTTTTCGATAATTACGTTAACAGGAAAAAGTTTTATTCTCATTCATTCAAGAGCCCTTATCATTATTACATTATCAATGATATTAACTGTTAATGGCTAGCAATCAGTAAAAATGTTGGTTGTATTTTTTTTTTTTAATTTTTAAGTTTATAATTCCCTAAATGCTTTTTGGATCATTGTTTAATCAATCAATCAATCAATCAATCAATCAATGTTTTTTAAATAATTTGTTATTGGACATTCCATAGGGAAATAGAGAAAAAGTTTCACTGAACCTATTCGATGTATTAATTATTGTGGTGAAAGCAAATGAACTAACTACAAATCACAACATATTTGCTTTCGAAAAATTTCTCTCAAGAGTAAACAAAAACAAAAAGTCATTTCGATAAGTACCATAAAAATTTCCTCTTTTCCTCTCATATGTTCTGATTAAAACAAAGAAAAGAAACTTTGAACTTTTTTTTTTTGAAATAAGAATAAATTTAATTAAAAGATTTTGATAAGGAAAAATTGTAATAATTAGCAAAATTATGATTGGAAGACAAAAAAAAAATTAGGAATAAAATTAATTGATTAAAAGTAAAACTAGTTAAAATATAAATGAAATAAAAACTTTTAAATTAATTAAAAAATTTGATATGAATGATTATTTTAATTCATTCCTATACTATTCCCTATCATTCACATTTATTCTTTATTTGTATATTTCAGATATATCATTTTTAAAATGTTTTAAAAAATTGATATTATTTCAAATTTCCTTTTTTTTTTGTTTTTTTTCTCTCTCTCTTTTTCTCATTCCCTTTCTTTTATATATTTTTTAGCATTTATAATATAAGTCAAAGGTCAGCTATAGAGTTGCTCCATTTATGTAAATCATCATTCAAATTTTTGCCCATCAATAGAATTTTGCACAATACCACCACCACCACCATCATCATCATCATCATCATCATTATTATTATTTCCTTAGCAAACGACATTTCGCACACATCATATCAATATCAGTAAAGGAAGTTTTGAATAAAAATAACTCTTTTTTTTCCTCTTCTCTCTCTCTCTCTCTCTCTCTGTTTGTTGTTCTCATTGATAAATCCGAAAATGGTTAATGTAAATTTTAATAGAAATGTTCTGAAGAAAAGAAGAAGGATGAGAAAGAAGGAAGAAGGAAGAGGAAGAGTATCAGATGAAAGAGAGAAAAGTTTCCTTTTCATTTTCAAAAAAGAAAAGAGAAAAAAATTTTTCTCAAATGGTCCCTTTGTCCTTCCGTCGATTTATATATTATATTATTCTTAACAGGTTTTCAATTTAATTTTCATTCTAAAATTATGCAACTTGTTTTTCATCCAAACATACGTTTAGTTTTACAGTCTGTTTTATCGCCTAAAAAGAAGATAGACATATATTCATTCTCCTCAATAATTTCAAAATTTAATTTAGATCAAGAAATTTCATTATTTTATTTTATATTATAGTTTGAGAAATATCTCATTGCAAATTCATTTTGACCTTCCATTTTCATTCATTTCATAAAGACTTCCTGTAATGAATAATAATAATATCTTCCCATCATTTCGAATAATTTCATTTATTTGAATTTGTTAACAAAATGTATTATTGCTAATTATCATTTCTTATTTGATTCATTCATTTTTGCTTATTTTAATTTCTTCTTCTTTTCTTTTTTTTCAACATCCTAATATTGATTGTCATATAAAAATTGCCAAAAAATTTTTTGTTAAATTTATTTCAAATATAATTTAATAAGAAATGATAATAGCAATAATACATTTTCTTATTATCATTTCTTATTGATTAATTCAAATTTTAATGAATTATTAAGATATAGCATTTTTTTTAAAATCGAATATTGACCTCAGTGAATGAATGAATGAATGAATGGGTTCAACGGGTAAATTGAAATGAAATTTCATCTTATCGATAAAATTGTTTCAATCGTTTTGTGTGATATGAAACATTTGCATGAAATTTCTGATCGAATCATTCCATCAGTTAATGGCAATCATAAATCATTTCGACGTGTGATCTTAAAAATTTTCCGCGGAAAAAGGTTTATGTAATCTGGTATTCAACGTCGTTTCTCTGACTCATATTTATTTGACAGATTGAAAAGACCCGACTGCAACAGGTTTCTTGATTGCCTAAATCCTTTATGACTGGATCATATTCATTTCTCTGCATTTTCCACTATTTTTGCGGTTATATTGCGGTTATTTCATATGATGTCTCATTCTTTTAAGGTAAAATTGAAGAATTAATAAGAAGTAATTGAAATTAATATAGTCAATTGTGATACTATTTCAATTAATTTAAATTTTAACAATTAATCAAAGATAACAGACAGCTTTTTTCTTCCTATCATTTTTCTTTAATTTTTTAGATTTACTGCTAATTGACGTTGAACGTGTTGTCTCACGTTGCTAGTGTTGTCCATATATTCGATATGTGCATGGACGTGTGTTTACAGATATATATATATATGTGTGTGTGTATGTGTATGTATATACGTGTGCATGCATGTACTACAATATAATCAATAAGTCTTTCAACCAAATAACTAAATCGACCTTTTTGAAAATTTGCTCCCACTCTTAGTATCAAGGGATATGCCATAAAAGGATGCCATAAAACTCTCCCTCGTTTGATAAAATTTAAAATTAAATTTGATTAATTACAATGTCTGTGTCGTAAGCAATGAAAATATCAGCTTAGTATAATCATTCTTCATGTTGCTGACAATTGATTAAGCAATAATTTTAAATCCGATCAATTAGACCGTGACCTGAATATGTTTAACATTGCTGCAGCCGTTAGCAATTGATATTCGACAAATATTGATTTCCTTCAACTACCTTTTTTTCTTTTTTCAATTTTCGTATATAAAATTCTCAAAAAGTTTTTCATTTAATAATTTCTCTTTATATAATTTTGGAAGGAAGAAAAAAAACTTTCTTTTTTACAGTAAACCATTTCTTTAGGTAATTTAACAATTATCGATCGGCAAGTTTATGTGAGTAAATCTTTCAGCACTTCTCATATTGTAGGATATCTTGATGATTCAGGTTTTTTTTTCGTGTTATACAAATGAACATGGAGACTAAAAAGTACGTTTGAATTCATTTCATCAAAGGGAAATCGGAAAGTAGAGAGATGAGAGGAAAAATCGGAAAGTAGAGAGATGAGAGGAAAAAAGACGGATGGAAACGATAGAAGACACTGTGTAATTAATTGTATCAAATTTTTTGGTAAGCTTAAAAAATTGATCACCTTCTTAAACTATCTATCGTTGCTCAAACTAAGCTCAAAATTTTAAATTTGGCAATGGCAATAAATTTTCAACAAATACGGCGGTGTCGATATGATAACCAACAATGGATTCCCCTCGAGACGATCATATTTGGTTAAGAGCTGCTAACGGAAAAAACAAATACGGATTCGTAAAAAAATGTAATGACATCAGGAAAAAAAAAAGGAAACGGTTCAGAGAAACAGGACAAGAGGAAGAGGCGGGGGAGTGAGAAGAGTGGGAGTGATGTGAAAAGGAGTGATGAGAGCGATCGGTTTAGGACAACCTTAAAATTAAAAAGAATGATAGAAGTACAAGCAAGCATTTCGCCCCACAAATCGTTATCTTTTCGTTGACCGAAACGTTTGGGTAGCAAATCCATCGTGGTGTACACACACATACACACATACACACACTCAGATAGATAAACTTCAACAGACACTTTGAACCGACACACCCACAGACACATACACATACACATCTGGTTCTGTTCAATTCTTCATTCTAAACGTCTCTTTTGACGCCCCGACTGCACAACCACCCGACCCGCCCGACCGTTTTCTCTTCTTCCCACCCTTCTCCCCCGCCTCCCAACAAACGGACAAACCAACCAAGTAACCACCAAGCAACAGCAACAACAACAATAATGCCAGCAATTTGAAGTTTTCGAATCTGTTAGAAGAAAATCAACGGCCAGTAAGTATCTCTCCTCCCCTTTAATCTTCCAATCCCTTTCTCCTCTTCCTCCTTCTCTCTCTTTCCTCCCTTCTATTTCTTTCCTTCATTCATTTATTGCTTTACCTTTCACCCTTCTTTCCATCTCCCCAAATCAGCATCATTTTATTCATGGATTCAGGTATACTTTTGGTTTGTTTGATGATGCGGAAGGTAAAGGAGCGAGACATTAGATGTAGAAGAAGACTTAGACCGTTTATTGGGTAATGGAAGATGATTATAAGAAAGCGGGGGGGGGGGAGCACCAAATGATTAGGATACGGGACAAACATGTCAGGTGAACACTCGATTCAGCTTCGTTTATTATATTCCTTTTTTTGCTTTATCGTTGAACACTTCTGTTTATGAATTTAGATAAATGCGAAATCTAGGAAGCTCATAACTTTCCGATATCAGTTATTATATGTTACCTTCCCAGAAATACCGTTGATAAACTGTATGATATGTGATAATGCGTGAGGAATATATCCCGAATAATTCAATACATTCTTGAAGTTTGCATACATGATGGATTAAAATACTGACCATCTTATCCTTCATATTAAAACTTTTGTATTCGTCGGCTGAAATCTTCAATATTCTTAGCAATCAACAACCAATAATGATTCATCACCGTGAAATTGTTGAATTTAATTGATGGATAAATTTTCACATTGAATTTATCCGAAAATTTTCTCATTATAACTTTATTAATAACAATGATTAACAGAGTGTTACGTAAAAAAATGAAAATGAAAAGAACTACGCTCGCATTCGAATGTCTAAATATCCGAATTCAGAACTGATGATAAATTCCTTTTCTATTAGCTTATCAAGTTACAAAATAGGATAACTCCTAAATATGATCAACAATGATATCGATTTAGCAGTTTGATCATTTCGGCATTTGGCATTGGGATAAATACATGTATATGTATACCTGTATGAATGAATCATTATGATATGGTTAATGATAATTAGGAGTAATATGATGTACATCAACTGCACTGTTGCAAAAAAGAAATTTAAGGAATTGATAGGAATGCAGTGGGTGAAGATTGTTAGGATGAAGATTTTAAAAGAATTTATAAAGGAACGAATAGAGTTGACTAACTGAATGCACACTGCTAAACGTCACCTTTACATTAACCATCATCATCCATTGCAGACACATCCTTCATACTTAAGTAAATATAAGATTATATATATATATGAGATACATACTTATATGTTTATCAAGTTATTTACTAAATCATTATATATTTATAATGATAAATGATAAATAAGTAAATAAATAAGTAAATACAAGTATAGATATTTGTCCAATAATTTATTGATATGTATATATGATTTGACAAGTAAATACGTGTAAAAAAAAAAACTGAAAAACTTGTTGACATTTTCATCGCTTTCGTTATCACTAAATTGGCAACCAGAAGTTTTCTTTTCTTTTACAATTTTCTGATCATATCATCTTAATTTTTTCAAATGATATTTTTACTTGATGAAGTATGAAATGTAAGCTGTTAGGTTGTACCGTATTCGTATGATGATGACGATGATAATATCGAAAATGTGAAAGATGATTATTAAAAAGATTACAACAAATTCTTGAATCGATCTATCAATAATTTACATTTTACAATTCTAATATATAAACAATAATAGCAATGCTGTAGAATTCGTTTCTCTTTTTTTAGGTATTGTTTCAGGTTGATATTATTAGACAATACCAATTTTTATTTATTTATTTATTGCTAGCTATAAATATTGATAACTGTTCAGAGGGATATGTTTCCGGAAGCCTCATCTCATTTGGCTACACAATTTCTGTCATATTATAGTGCGAAAATTTGAAAACTAGGTGTTGTTTGATGTATAGCAAATATCGATTTGGTGAGAAGGTTATTGAGGCGAAAGGGAGGAAGTGGTGATTCATGCCGGTCGATCGAAATTTTCTTAATTTTGATGTTGGTGGCTGTACTATTGGCTATGTGCATTTCAGTCATCCTTCATTTTACGGAGGAAAATCGAATATCGATAAGAAAAGGATTTTCATCCCGCAGCTTGGTGCTTTTTCGCTCTTTCGGATCTATTCATTTACGGGATTTTTAGATAGTAACCAGTAGTTAAATATTGAATTTCGTTTTGCAACGATTAAATATCGTTTGCTTCATCATTGTAGAACAATTTTACTGAATGTTTTATTGATATTATGAACACACTTTTCTGAAAAATTGATTTACCTGGATTACGAGGCAAGATATTACGTAATGATGAAAAATGAGTGATTGTTTGCTCTAATTAACCTTACGCTGTGTTTTTCAAACTTCCCGTGTTGTTTTTTGTTTTTTTTTGACCGCTATGACACCATGAATTGTCAGCATTGCGATTTCCGAAAATCTCATGATGTGGTACTTCGGTATCGTACGGGGGTCTTCGTAAAATACTACTAAAATGGAGTAAATAACATTGAGCAGATAGATTTGTGGTGCTGTGGGTGTGACCATTATCAGATTCACTACTCTCTCAGCGATCAGAGTTGGCAGTTTAGTGTTTGAATGTTTGAAGTGCGCGTTATCGGTGATGATGATCGGTGGCAGTTTAACAAGGAATCTCATGCATGTTCCTTCATTTTCAGTTATCTCCTGGTATGGTCATGTCTATCTGATTATCTTCTCAACTGTCATAATACTTTTGGATTCTATGCTTTAAATTTCTTGTCTTTTTATATTTGAAAAAATTCCGAGATATTCTAACACTTGTTATATTTTCATTTTTTTTACGAACATTTACAATTCCTCCCCCCTTTTTTCTCCCTCATTTTATCGATAGTCATTATTAGATATGTTTGTGATAGAAATATTACCATATTAATCAGCATCGTTATTGTCCAATATCATTATTACCATTGTATCTTCGTCATTACCATCATCATCACCGTCATCATCATCATCATCACGAACAATATGATCATAATTCATCATAAGCAACTAATTATAATCATCGTCATCGTTATCATCAGGATCATTATCAACAATTCTCAGTCATTACTTAACAGAAAATCAATCGAAGCTTCAAAATTTAATAGGATAGTAATGGGATGGTACAGTGCAGTTAATGAACCTGAATTCCACATTTCGCATTTCATCGTCAAAATCTCTATCCAATCTCTCTCCTTTTACCCTTTTCTTCTTTCCTTTCTTCCTTCTCCTCCTCCTCTTCCTCCCATTTCCTCTTTTTGCCTTTCTGCTTTCTTCTTCCCTGGAGGCTTTTATCAACTGTATTGAATATATAACAGGCTGCAGCATCAAATCAAATTTCCGTTGTGAATGATTGTTCTAAAGATCGGGGATGTGCAAACGTGAGGGGAGAGGGAGTGTGTATAAGCGGGGTAGGGAAGAAGACGGGAGTTGAGATGACAGGTAGACGGGGAGGAAGGAGGATGTATGTTTGATGAATTTTGTACATTACAAATTGAATACTGCAGTGGTTGTTCTGTTGCTAGTTATCATATCGTGCCATATCATATTATATTATATCATATCATATCGTATATACGATGGAGGATAGATATTTCTAAATTTGCCTTTCTCAACATCTCTTTCACATTATCATTTTGAAAGATTTTGTTTTGTTTTTATATATTAAGGCAATATTCAGTTATTCAACTTCACTTCAATCCATTTTCTTTCGGCTCTGATTTACTTATCTGCTATCATTATACTTAATACGTTTCATCATATTATCATCATCCTTTATCACCCGATTCCTGATAGCTTCATTTCATCTTTTATCCATTCATTTTACTTCCAAAAATGGACACAGGAAAGATAGAATGAATTGGATTTATATACGTTAGCATGTAAATGAATATTTAATTTTTTTTAAAGTATGCTTTCTATCTCTTCACGGATATCCTGAGGCAACATTTGGTATTAATTTTATTATTCTTGTATCCGGACTTCAAAAGGTCAATTTTGTTCGTTGAGTATTTCTATTATTTGACCCTTGTAATATAAAATTTTACTTTATCTACTAAAAAGTTATTTTAATTTCCAATTTATAATTTCATCCTAACAATATGTCCAATAATTTACTATTTTCAATGGATAGTTTAATGAAATTAATTATATCAATTTTAAATGAATTATCCTCACAATGGATACATAGATCTCATATTCATCTTACAGTGTGATAGCATTGCAAATATTTTTATAGACATTTTTTTCCCCTACTGCAGCCTATCAGGGCAAGTAAAAAAAATGATCATTTATTTCAAGTAATTACTTTGAGCCATGATTTGGTCATTTCGCAAATGACTGTTTTGAAAAATCTTTTTTCCCTTAAAATTACTGCAAGCTAACTTTTCCGGGAATTTATGTCTCTTTAGGGAGCACTTAATCAGAATTCGATCACTTCAATTTGAAACTTTTAAAAATGATTTGATATTATTTTTATTTAGCTTTTAGTTTTGTAATTTTAAAATAGCGAAAATATTAGTGAGATCATATTCGTTGTAATTGATTGCTGAAAAGCTTAACTTTCGAAAATGCTCAATTAAATCAATGTTGCGAGATTTTAATTCAGGCTCATTAAACATTCAAATATATAAAATTACTTCATAATGATATCCAATTATCGATGAAAACTTCCTTATAAGTTGAACAGGGTTCTTTTTTTTTTTCATGCAACATCGGCAAATTTAATGTAGTGAAAAATCTGGAAAAGTTTGCGTGCAATTAATCGACGTTATACTTTTAGGCACGTTTGCAGCACTATTTGATATTGGGGCAGTGAGGCGTAAATGTCATGAAAAGGATTTGAAGTTTTTATTGCGTTACTAAATTTCTTACGATCAGCATACGAGAGAATATTTGATGTTAGTTTGATAAGATACCAATGATACAAAGGGGGAATAACTGCGCATAAATAATACAACCTGATTTATCAATTCAAGAATATCAATGGCAAGAAAAAAAAAATCATAAACGAGAATGAAAGATAAGGATGATAATGATTAAAGAAATGAAGATGTAGAAAAGTGAGAATGAAAGATTATATCAGGATAAAAAAAAATATTGATATGAAAATGATAAAAAAGTTTTAATCGTAGAATTTTTATCTTTTTTTTTTCTTTGAATACTTATTAAATACATACGTTGATACACTTAAGAGATAGATGATTTATGAGAATCTATAGGAATAATGATAATAAAACAATATAAATATGATATATATCGTATTACCAATAACATTTTTTATCATTTAAAATAAATTTAACATTTGAAATTGAAATGTGATAATTTTTTTTTGCTAAAAATTTCAACTTATCAATTATTCAAATAATATAGCATTAAATTTGCAAATAAATCACAATGATGCAATCTGATAATTTCCTCTGATAATTTCATCAGAACCATGCCTTCGATCTGTTTTTGTTTTAGCATATAAAATCTGTTTAGTAAAAATAAAGAAAAACAATGATACCACTGATACCACACATCACTCAGCTGTTTTGTAGTATATTGAGAAAGTTTGTTTTGTTTTGTTTTTTTTTTCACAATTGTTAATTAATTTTAAATTTGTTAATTGTTAATTTTAAATTATGAATTTTATAAAAGTCATTTTCTCGTTTTTTCCAATTTCAAATGAAAAGAGAAGAGAGATATTTGGATTGGTGGAAAGATGAGGGAAGCAATTTCATTTGCTTTTTCAGAATTCTTCTTTTTTTCACAACTAGTTCAATATATCAACAAATATTCCAATCACCGGCCAATTCCATTTGTTTGAGGCACACATAGAGTTGGTTGAATTCGTTAACTTTATTTCTCTCCATCCTTCCCCCCGCCCTATCCGTTCATTTCTATTTCTACATTTTTCTACATAAATAATCTCCCGTTCTTTTTTTTTTTTATTTTGCCGTTTTTCTTCGTTCAAAATCATACAGGCGGGGCGGGATATGATACGAGAAATTGGGAAAAAGAGGGGAAAGATATGAAGGACGGGGTTTTTGCTTGATGATTTTTATAGAAATAACTATTTTTGATAGCACTTTTTGTCAACTTGTCTTTTAAAAAAATAATTTAATTTTTTTCTTTATTACAATACTCATTCATTCCTCCTTTCTATCTCTACCTCTCTCTCTCTCTCTCTCTCTCTCTTTCTCCCTCTTTTACTCCCTTACATTTTCTCTCTTACCAGCTCTTTTCATTCCTTCTTTGACCAACACTAAAATATTTTGAAAAAGCGCGATCATTACTATTAGAGAAAGAAAAAAACTCCGGGTGCTTGATAATTAAAAAATTCAGGTTTTGATTTTAAAAAAAGAAAACGAAGGATAATCAAACATTTTTTTGTTTTAAATTCCACTTACGGGGGATTTTTCTTTGTTGTTGTTGTTGTTGTTGTTGTATTTTTCCGCTTCACTTTTTCTTCTTTCACTGGCGCTAAGGTTAAAATGAGGTAGAAGTAGTAATATCGTAGATGATGTTTGTTTTAGGATGAAAATAATGCTGTTATATTTTAAGAAAAAATATTTGATTTTCTAAATTTCATAAATAATTGGTAAATCAAAATTAGTTATTAAATGAATTGAAAAATAGGATAAAAAAAATAATTCATGAAATATCGTCGTTTTCAATTTTAAAACTATTAGAATTTTCTACAGGAGATATTATATATGTATATATCGATATGGTTTAAATATTTGCGTTATTAGTTGAGGGTCGAGGAGCAGACGTTTTAACGCAGAGTTATTGTGTTGACATTTCATCGGAGTGGAGGAGCACACAGCCCTACCACCATCATCACTACTAACGATACCCACCACTACTACCACCATTACCACTACTACCATCACTGCTACCACCGCTACCACCACTACCACCACTACCACCACAACACCGCAACCACAACAACCATTACCAGCATCATCATTATCACCATCACCATCACCATCACCATCATCTCCACCACCGCCGTTGCTACGATCACCAACCAAGCATTTACGAGTATCGAAGCCGTTGAAGTGCAGCTTACCTCTCTTCTTCTCCCTCCCTCCACAAAGCTAATAAATGCTACCCGGAAGAACGCCAGCAACATCAACATCCGTTCTTTACAAATGTACCTTTATGGGATAATTTCTTTTAAATTTTCTGGTTAGTTAAAAGATTCAGTGGAAGGAAATATAAAAGAAAATGTGATAGATATGTGAAGTATTGGATAGGGTGAAAATAAGGAGGTGAAAGAGGGTAAGGAGACATCAAGGTCATCTCGGATTATTCCTATGAATTCATTCATCCCACACATTTCTACGCCACCCTCTCTCTCTCTCTCTCTCTCTCTCTCTCATTTTTTTCCTTTTTTCTCCTTCTTCTCTTACTGTGTGTCATTTACCATCATCACTAATACCAGCCATTATTACCAAATTGTGTATTTTTGTTTAGTTTTCAAAAATTTTAATGTTTTATTTAAAAAAGTAAAATTCTTTCCTTCAACAATTTTTCCACTCATACAAACCAATTCCTCTATTTCATTCATTGTTATTTTATGCTGAATTCTTCAGTTAAACATCATTCGTTCATCAAAAGTAAATGTTAGTTATATCGAAATTTTTATCACTTTTCATTTATACTCTCAGGTAATTATGTTGCAAAATTTTCATTATTAAATTTAATTTTGAATTATTGCAAAAATAGTTTTATCATATATTAGGAGGATAGTATATTTTTGGCATTCCTTCTTATATGCTGCAAATCATTATGACTAATTAATCGAAATAAATATGAATGAGTTAGAATTAAACTTAATCATTCTTTTAGTCGTTTATATTTTAATTGGAAAAAAAGAATTAGTGAAATCAATCGCAACAATACGAAAGTAGAAAATGAATATCTTCCATTCTCTTCTTTCCACCTTCGATATGAAAGTGGAAAGAATGGAATGGAAGAAGAAAGATGAATATTATATATATATCAAGGTATATAATAAAGGTAAAGGAAAAAAAAAATGAAAATTAAAACTTGTTGTTTATTTCATAAAAAAATGAGGAGGAGTTAATTTTTCTCTCTCTCTCTCTCTCTCTCTCTCTCTCTCTCAAAAACTATTAATTTCAAATTAGCCATACTGTGCAATTTCTGTTTTCCTTCTTCTTCTTTTCTTTTTTGCTTCCTTACTTTTCTTTCGAATTTCACTTTTATGAAATTTAAAATTTTTCGAAAGGAATTTTTAGAAATTCGTTCTAAATATATATGTATGTATGTATGTATGAATCATCGTTTATTGGTTTAGAAACGGGGAAATGCACTGACTGTATCATCATCATCATCAGTTTATGTAAATAAATTAAGTTGACTTTTGAAAGCACTAGGAATAAAACCCGAAATACTTAGCGCTCCTACAATTGTAATTTCGAAAAATGAAACGTGGTATTTAAAATTTAGAAGAATTTTAAACGAGAGAGAGAGAGAGAGAGAGAAATGGATTGTAAAGATTTGAAATGTCACAAATTCCATCATAGATACAGGCTGATAAAAAAACTCTTAAAAGAAAAAATTAAAATTTTTTTAAATTTTAAATTAAACTTTAAAATCTTCAAAATATAATTAAAATAATTGATTATTTTCAATCAATTATTATTAATATATTGTTTACAAAAATTTTTTCTCTTTGAAAAAAACAATTAACAATTAAGATTTATGTGATTTAAATTCTTCTTCTTCTTCTTATTTTCAATTAATTAATTAATTTTAATTTTTAATAAATACTTAAAAAAAAGGTAAATCAAAGCTTAATAAACTCTTCTTTTTTTCAATTAATTAATTTCAATTCTCAATAAGTACTTAAAAAAAAAGGTAAACTAAAACTTATTGAATTCTTCTTTATTTCAATTAATTAATTTTAATTTTTAATAAGTACTTAAAAAAAAGGTAAACCAAAACTTATTACTTCATATTTGAAATTTTTTTAAATTAAAGATTTAGTTATTTTTGTTATTAGGGCATAAGTTTTTCTTCCTTACTTTTTAAAGAAGAAGAAGAAGAAGAAAAGAAAATGAAAAAAGAAGTGCTTCATTTATTACTGCACTTTTTCTACAACAATATTTCATCGTACTTCCTTCTTCTTCGTCTTCTTCTTCAACCTTTTCATTTCAAACTATATTATCACCAGTTGATCTTCACTCAACTTCTTCCTTCCTTTTTCATCGTTACTTCCGTCTTTCATCTTTTCCTTCTTTGTTTTTTTTCATTCTATATAAAATAACGTGAAATATTTCATTTTAATCGTTCTGCAAGATAGATCGATCGATTTTCATTTTTAATCTGTTGATTATTTGTCGGATATATATATGGTTGATTCTATTTTTCCTCTTTTAATATATATATGATATATAAGATATATATGTTCATCATATCCATATCCATTTATAAGTTTTACGGATATATGATTGATTTCATTTTTCACCTTTTTTTTCTTTTGTTGATTTATTTTTAAGATATATACTGGTTTGTAGAAATGTATGCTAATATTTATTTATTATTTGTAGGAATATATGCTAATATTTATTTGTTCAAATATTTATTTGTTTTTTTTTTTCAAAAATTAACAAAAAATAATTGATTGATTAGATTGAAAGTTGGAAGATAAATAAAAAGTAATATTTTATTAATTAAAAAAAATAGTTAAATTTTTTGATATTTCAATTTTAGAAAATAAATTATCGTTGTAATAATAACTGATGAATATTATTAATTTGGGAAATTTTTAAAACTGGAATGATAAATTGCACTAATTATAATAATTTTGGTATTAAATTTTGAATTTATATGACAGTGATAATTTCGAATGTTTAACAAATACACCCTAACAATTATTTATCAATTGCTAGCGAATAAATAATTATTACTGTAAACAATTTCAAATATTTACATATGACGAAATATAATAATTTCAAATTTAAAAATTTTAGTAAAAGAAAAAAAGAAAAATTCATAAGATTTTAATTTGTTTCATATAAAAACTAAATTCATAAAGTAAATTGTAGTAAATTTTCGATAAAACATTTTTTATAGCAAAAAAACAAACAAATATTTTGTTTACATTATTGTTTTTTTTTTCGTATTGTTTATTTTATAACAAAAAAGAAAAGCAAATATTTTTGATTGCTTACATTTGTAATATTTATTTATTTACTTCAAAAAAAAAAAATTTCTGTCAATAAGAAAGATTAGAATAGAACGAAAGATTAGTAAGTAATATGAAAATATTCTGAATTACTAAATCATTTAGAAATATATAATTAACAAAAATGATATATTATGTATAAATATTGTTGATGTTTTTTTATTTGTCTTATTTCAAAAAATTCTTTTTTCGTATAAATAGATGAAAATTCTTTTCCGGATACTTATTTATATGCTATTTTCGGATACTGTTATCCTAAAATGATATGTAATATGATGATAGAGTACGGTCTGAAAAAAAATGGTACTGTATAAATAAATATTGTTGATGTTTTTTTATTTGTCTTATTTCAAAAATTTCTTTTTCATATAAAATAGATGAAAAATTGTTTTCCGGATATTTATTTTATATTTATATGCTATTTTAGGATATATGCCATTTCCTAAAATGGTAAATATTTTTTGTTCATATGCTATTACCGAATACTATTATCCTAAAATAGTAAATAATATGATAGAGTACCAATCAAAAGTACCATCTCATATTTGGATGATAGAGTACCATCAAAAGTACCATCTCATATTTAGATGATAGAGTACCATCTAAAATGGTAAATAATATAATGATACTAAAAGATTAGCATTAACATATA